TTGTGGGCCGTTGTCCGACACGATTGTTGCTGGATAACCAAACCGCCTAAACATATCGCGAAGACGATCGATGGTTGCCGTGCTAGTAGTGTTTTTCATGATGCACACCTCTGAACATTTAGAATGTGCATCAACCACAATTAGAAACATGTGATGCTGAAAAGGCCCCGCAAAATCGATGTGTACTCGCTTCCAAGGGGATGTTGGCCACGACCATGCATGGGTGCAAAGGAGCACTGTTAGGGGCACTACGCTGCTCCTGGCAAGGTTTGCATCCCTTGACATGAGACTCGAGATCCGCGTCAATTGAAGGCCACCAAACATAGCTGCGGGCGAACTCTTTGGATCGCACAATACCTGGATGACCGTCGTGAAGTTCTTGTAGCACCAGAGACGTCAGCTTCGCAGGCACCACTGCACGTATTCCCCACAGGAGACAGCCTTGGTGTGTGGTCAGCTGTGTCCTCCTGTCGAAGAAAGGCTTGAGCTCCGCATCGTCAGTAAAGTTAGGCCACCCCGTACTTGTGAGCTCGAGTACTCTGCAAAGAAGCTGGTCATGTGAGGTTGCACGTGCAATATCTTTGTGTGTCAGTGGCATTGATTTCAAGCGTAACGAGTAGAACGTTTCCTCTGCATCATTAGCAGATTCCCGACGAATCGGCAAGTGCGACAAGCAGTCAGCCTCTAGATTCTCGTTTGTCGGTCGAAACTTCAAGGTGCACGTGTAGGAAGATAACGTCACTGCCCAACGTTGAAGTCTTGCTGCTGCCAAGATTGGTATGCCAGACTGTGGACCCAAAATAGTCTGCAGTGGTTTATGATCCGTTATCAGCGTGAACGAACGCCCGTAAATATAGTAGTGAAACTTCTTAACGCCGAAGATGATTGCTAATGCTTCTTTCTCGATCTGGCTATACTTCTGCTCAGCATCGGACAGAGTCCTTTAAGCGTAAGCAACAGGGCGAACGGTTCCATCAGCAAAAATATGAGAAAGCACAGCACCTACCCCGTAATGAGATGCGTCGCAAGCCATTTGAAGCGGTCTTTGCGGATCATAGTGAGTCAGCACCTCTGGAATATCAACGCAGCCTTGATGTCAAAGGCCGTTTGACATTCGCTGGTCCATGCCCAAGCTTGGTCGTCACGCAGGAGTTTGTACAGGGGATGGGCTAGCGTAGCCAGTTGAGGTAGAAATTTCCCGTTGTAGTTTACGGCTCCGAGCAAAGAACGAAGCTGTGGCTTGTTCTCCGGTGCGGGTGCGGCTACAATGGCATCAATCTTGTCCGTCGTGAGATGTATGCCATCTGCACTCAACTTGTGCCCCAAGTAGGTTAATTCCTTCTGAAATAAGCGCATTTCTCAGGTTTAGTCGAACTCATCGGCTTTCAAAACAGGTTAGAACTGCTTCCAAGTTCTGTAGGTGTTCGACTGCAGTCCTTCCGGTCACTAGGATATCGTCCAAATAGCATGCAACACCTTTGAGACCCTTAAGCATGGTGTCCATTATTCGCTGAAAAATACCAGGCGCCGAAGACACGCCGAAAGGTAGCCGGTTTACGGCGAATAGTCCTTTCGTCGTGTTTACCGCCAGAAGACGACGCGCCGGTTCCGCTAGCACTACCTGTTGATAGGCCCTGTTCAAGTCAATTTTTGAAAATTCTTTTCCTCCACTGAATGCAGCGAAAACTTCTTCAACACGTGGTAAAGAGTAGCGATCAGTGTCTAGCATAGGGTTGACAGTAGTCTTGTAGTCGCCACATAGGCGGATGTTTCCGTCTTTCTTTACTTCGGGCACTACCGGTGTAGCCTACTCGCACTTGGCTAATGGTGTGATCACACCCATTGACTGCATTTTTTCAAGCTCTGTTTCCACTGCTGGAACCAGTGCGAAAGGCACACTGTGCGCCTTCAAAAACTTTGGACGAGCGTCCGTTTTGAGAAAGAGTTCTGCCTTCTCCTCTGAGATGCATCCCAATTCTTTCTTGAAAAGGTTACTGTACTTCTGCAAAAGCTTGCTAACCTCTACTTTTGCTTCCTTGTTTGTCGGCTCCCGTGCCGAGCAGAGCTTGTTGCAGAAAACTACAGTGTTCCAGTCGAGGCGCACGTGCTGTAACCACTCTCGGCCCAGAAGTTCCGGTCCTCCCGGCTCAGTGACATACAAGAGTAATAGAACACTTTGCCCATTATGTTCAACAACAACTTCAGCCACTCCTACTGATTCGACTAATGCGCCTGTGTAAGTGCGCAGACGCAATCTTGTTGTGCGCAACTTCAAACAGGGGAACAACTGTTGCTGTTGCCTGCGAGAAATTACGGATACCGCTGCACCCGTATCTAACTCCATTTCAAGTGGAATTTTGTTTATTAACAGGCGTACTTTTATGGCATCTTTTGCCGAGCACGTCATGCCGTTTAGCATAACTTCTGTGGCCCAGACAAGAACTTTCAGGCTGCGTGCTCGCGCCTGAGATAACTTCGCGTTCTTATCAGACTGACATATACGCTGGATATGCCCTTTCTTGCCACAGCCGAAACACGTCGCCGACGCATGTCTGCAGTTTTTGCTCACGTGCTTAAAAGAACCGCACCGTCGACACATGTTTGACGCTTTCTTTACGCTGGCCTCTTTTACTGCGACTGCTTTATGCCCCGGCTTTTGTGCAGTTACATGGTGTAAGTCAGAGACGCTTGTTGAACCATGCACTTCTGCTGCACTTTTTGTTGCTGAATCCAATGCTAAAGCTTTTTCGACTGCTTCTTGAAAGGTTAACTTCTTGTCTTCAGCAAACAGCACTCGCTGAATACCTTGTCTTTGTAAACCACAAACGAATCTGTCCCTCAGTGCCTCGTCTAAGAAATTATCGAACTCACACGAACTCGAGATGGTGGTTTTGGGACATTAAACCCCACAAATCAATCAATCAATCAATCACACGAACTCGAGAGGGAACGCAGCTCCGCGACAAAATCGGCAATGGATTCAGTCTCACGCTGAGACCGTCGATAAAACTTGGCTCTCTTACCAATTACTGAAGGCTTCGGTGCCAGATGGTCGCCAAGCAATTGCCTGAGGGTGTCGTACGACTTGCTTGATGGAAGGTCAGGGGCGGTAAGTGACTTGAGTAGAGCGTACGTCTTCACCCCTATTAGGCTCAGGAACGCGTGAACCTTGTCTGCCCCCGGTACTTTGTTGAAGTGGAGAAACGATGTCAACCGCTCGTCGTATGAAGTCCAGTCGCTTGAGGAGTCGTCAAAAGGCTCCATGTGGCCAATTCTTCCTACCACTTGCGTGACTGGGTCTGCCGTCCCTGCTGTTCCAGTAGCTCGCTATGTGTCGGCGACCGCCCCAGGAACAAGTTCTACCAACGCCACTGAAGGTTCGAATCACTTCGTCGCCAGATGTAATGTCCAATGTTCGGAGACGAACGTAGAGTAGCAAAACGATTTATTGCTACATATTGTCGCAAGTACGATGGTACAACAGTTAATGGTACAAAAGCTGGTACATGGTACAAAAGCTGCAGCCTAGACATGCAGCTTTATATCGATCGCAGTCGGGTCACATGATTACTGGCAGCTGGGCTGGCCGCTCTATCGACAATACGTGGAGCTATCGCATACATGACATAGTGCAACTTCAAAGAGAGTGGCAACAACTTGTAGTTTGTTTGACAATCGGCGTACGTCGAAAAAACGTGTACCAAAACGATTGTACAGTGTTGCCAGCATTCCCGTCAACATTACTGCCAACTTGCTTACAGGTGTACGCGTCTGTAATAAAAGACAAAGTACTTTTTTTCTTGTTTCAGTCATGTAAAGGATAGTTTATATAATCAGAAGTACGATTGAAAATGGACATGGGCCGGGCATATAGCGCGTAGACAGGATAACCGCTGCTCGTTAAGTATAACTAACTGGATTCCCAGAGAAAGCAAGTAGGTTAGGGGGAGACAGAAGGTTAGGTGGGCAGATGAGATTAAGAAGTTTGCGGGTATAAATTGGCAGCAGCAAGCACAGGACCGGGTTAACTGGCGGAACATGGGAGAGGCCTTTGTCCTGCAGTGGACGTAGTCAGGCTGATGATGATGATGATGATGACGATGATGATGATGATGACGAGTGAAAATGTGTTAAGAAGTATCAGACGCAAAATCTTGCATGCATGCGGAGAAGGTGCTGTGCCGCCTAATGGGTCCCTTGCGGCTTCTGTACAAAGCTTGTGAAAGTGCCGTGTGATAGGCGCTTAACTCCATCTCCGTCGAACTACTTAATGAAGTTTAACGTTGATGGAGTTTAACAGAGTTGGTGGTGGCCATGCAACTGGGGTATTACGCACCACTTACGCACGCCTGAATGCGCTAGCGTGTGACCGTGTTCTGGCAGTGCTTGGGCCAGCTGTTGCCCGTGCATAGCTAAGGGCGGTTACGCACACTGGATTGAACTTCGCCATAAGCTGCCTCGCATCTAGAAAGGTGCTCAAGATTATGACGCGTGCGTCTTGCGCCCTTGTCATTCAGCTTTCCCTTGCGTTGGTTTTTGCACGCTTCCTGGTACGAGAGGTGAGAAAAACAGCCTGAAGCGTGCGACAAATCTCTAACTCTACTTGACTTTAATGGAGTAAAAAATAATATACTGCTAGTCGGCTCATCTGGTGGAAATAAACTGCTTGACTAAAGCCATTCGAAGATTACTTCGAAAAGTGTTGCAGGGCCACCTTTGTGTACATGAGTGCCTGTGCAACTTGTATAGGGAATGGTAGCATGTGTGCGTCGAATGCTCGACACGAGATCCACACGTGCGTCTTTGTCTGTGCTTCTTCTCCCGAATGGTGGGATAAGTTTTAAACTGGTGGCTATGTTTGACCATTCTAGCAGACATGTTTAACTCAATATTGTACTAAAACACGTATGCAATGGCATAAACATAGTTTTCAGTATTAAAGTTGTCCCAAAATAGTGCTGTTCCATCGGAACGAGTTAATTATATGTGGCAATTTTCAGGTACTTGGGCGCGTTGGCACGGTTACCCACATCTACTACGATGGCGACATCAAAGTGAACTTTCGCAACGGAAGGAGTTGGTGCTTCAACCCTGACCTTGCGGAGGCAGTGTCGGATGATGAATCTGAATGTAAGCATCGTGGGCATTTTGGGCTCGTACGAATGAGAACTTCCGGTGGAGGCGGAAATGCTGTAGGCCCGTGTGCTCAGATTTGGGCGCACGTTAAAGAGCCCCAGGTGGTCTAAATTTCCGGAGCCCTCCACTACGGTGTGTCTCAAATCATACGGTGGTTTCGGGAAACCCCACATATCAATCAACCATCAAATGAGAACTACCTTGAATGCTCTTGTGAGTCGAGTACCACTGCTCGCGTGGAAGTGGCGCGAACGCGAGATAATGACACCAGATGCAGCGACACAGTGGTGCAGGTGGGGAAAGTCGCGCGCGTTCCATTCGCAATCTTCGCTTTCGAAGAAACGATCCTTCAAAGTCAGTGCGTGTACATAAATGCGGAAAGCACACGTAATGGACGTACGCTCTTTTAACGCATTATAGATTGACAGAAGGACAGGTGTGATCGGTAGGGTAGTCGGTGAATGGAACATACATTGTTAGTTACAAGTTGTACGTTTTGGGTGAATTGTTGATGAAAATAACTAGAAGCAGCTCGAAACCGCGACGACAAAAGCAGCACACGCAACAGGACTGGCGCTGGTCCTGCTATTATTCGTAACATGCTTACGCCTTTAACAATCGCTGAAGTAATTGCGCGCTCTGAGCAAGCGACATTATCTTCAGGGGTACACAAAGGCCGGATAAGTCAGAATCAAGCGTGTGGCCACTTCCCTTGCCACCTCAGTTACCACAATAAACGTTCCGTAAGGAAATCGATTTGACTGTGGCGAGATGGCGTGCACTCCTGTAATTCCTTGTGCTGAAAGCCATGCATGGTTGTTCAGTTAAGTTAGGGACGTTGTTTCTGGAACGTTCGGTAAAATACTGAGAGCCAGAAGGGCATACGTGCGTGCCGCATATCAAAAAGAAACAGTTTCGACCTTACGGCTCATTCACACGTTCTTACTGTAGCCATATAACAGAACAGCTTAAAGAAGAATCTGGTGCTTGCTTCCCCATCGTCACTGCGATGAAACAAAAGAACTAGTAATCGAATCTCTTTATATAGCAACCAATCCTTACAACGTTCACTATGATGTAGCAGTACTCATGCTAGGAAAGTAGCGATCCACAAATATTTTCTCGAGTTATTTCATAGTTGCTGTAATAAATCGCGTGCGGTGTTTTTCCAATGTTTGCTGTCACGGAGAAGGCAAGTTCGAGTAATCACCTCAATAACTGTATTTTCCCGGCGACTCCGAACAAACATTGCAAACAGATGCACGTTGTTTGGGAAATATTGATCCGGTTCTTGATTTAGCACGGGGCCATTTAGTCAAGTTTGCCGTCTTTCGATGTTTGTTAGGACGTTACGGTAATACCATCTAATTATATAGGTGCCATAGTACACAGAGATCTTCACGAGTGCTTTGTTCTTGACAGCAGTCGCCTTTGCGCTAACTTCGGTGAGCTGCCGATTGAACCGAGCTATGTTTATTCAGTTACGTTTCTCATGAGCTTAATTCTCGTTGTGTACAAAGTGGTTTACTCTGTAAGTTCTGTACTAAAGCTTCTATACTTGACGAAAATCATTATTCCCTCGAAAACTAGGAGATTTACGGCGAGGTTACCCTCTGTATGAATAAGAATACATCAAACATTGTATGTCGATTTATATTCATTTGTGTTTTATTTCACCAGCCAGTGACTCCGATAGCGAGGTTCCTGATGCTCTCCAGCGCATGATGCGTGACTTATTCGGAATCCACACCACAGGGGTAAGTTGCCTTGAGCAGTCACACTTTCAATCACGAGCTGCAGTCGTGTACACTTTACGAGATAAACGCGTCCGCGCGTGCGTATGTGCGTGCGCGTGCGTGCTTCGCGCGACCGTGCAATCCAGCCACTGACCTTTCGTGCCATGGTGCGATGGAAAGCATGCATCATGCAAATGACTAGCCATTTGTAGACGCTATACTAAAGAAAAATGCTAACTGCAACGTTGACAAGCATCGGACGAACGCCATTAAGTGAAAGCCACATATTGTCAGCAATGAACGACGAAACAGTGTCAAAAACTGCTACAAAGGCTGTTCTAGACTTTATAAAAAACACTGGACTGGATACTAGACTGTAGGGTACTATACTAAGTGGCTACTGTACATACGCCCCACCTCTTCTTGTCTCCATCATCACCCTTCATCCCTCTTTCCTTCCCCTTTTCCTTATCCCCTATGTAGAGTAGCAGGCTAGAGCAAACTAGCTCAGGCCGACCTCTCTGCCTTCTAATAAATTCTTACTCTCACACATACAGCAGGTGTTTTTGAAAGAAATATACTTTTTTCAGTGCGCAGGGAAGGTTTCAGAAAGAAGACAGATAGGACAGAGCGCGCACTCACAACCATTGTATTGCACAGATGCTGGATATACATATACACAGTCAAGAGGGCGGGAGGCGACACGCAGAAAAAATGAGCAAATGAGGGCGCCAGCGCCAGAACATCTTATTCAATTCTTGAAACGAAAATGGAAATGAAAAGATAGTGGTATTCATTAACCAACAGATTGACGGACGGGCCACTTCCGCACTCAGTTGGCACAGTGATTTGCCAGGTGGCTGCTCAAGGATCTGCGCGTGAGATTCGCGTGCTCCCAAAAGGGCTGTTTCACATGGCGCGATTGCAGCGAAAAAAAAAAAAATCGTTCCGTTCGCTCCAATCACTCTGTTCGCAACCGCCGCTAATGGCGGTTTCGTTTCACATGGACCGAGAACGGTCCGCGATTTTCGCTCTGCGGCTGGAACGGCGAGTTCTTGCCACCGCTCTTTGTGGCAGACACGAATGTTTATGTAATAATATGTGCATTATGATATCATGAAGTTTCCGTGAACGGTAACGAAGGGCCCGCTTGTTTCGTCTTTTAAGAACACTGTTCAATCTCAATTCATTTTAAATTGCAACACGTCGACTCTATTTCGACGGCTTGGCTGGCCCGGCCATATTTCGACGGGGCCCGACCAAAAATCGCTGCCACTGCTGCGATCAGAGCGGAAACTTCCATTGTTGGAAGCTCGCCGCGGACCGCTGCGGCGGGAGCAAACTGCCCCCCCCCCCCCCATTTTTTTTTTTTCGCTGCGAGCGAGTTCGCGGCCTGAAAATCGCTACTTTTTGTGTCATGTAAAATGGCCTTAAGGCAATCGTTCAGACAGCGCCTCGTCTGTCCAATGTAGTATCGACCACATGATAGATAAATAAGATACACAACGCATATACTACATTCTACAAACACTTTTGCGTGCTGTCTTCTTTCTGAAACGTTCCTTGCGCACTAAGGAAGTATACTTTTTTCAAAATGGAGTATCAACTAGCCCAAGTAGCCACGTTTTTACAGCCGGTGGTTTGTGCATTCATTCTTACCCGCTTCGGCATCGCAGACACTTGTTTACTAACTCGCGAAAGGTGCATTGCAGTGCGTGACGTTCGGGTGGTGGTGTGCCAAAGCACATGGGTCTGGTCACGTGGTTATTTTCGGAGAGGGTCAGAAGATCGCTCGTAAGTCCGTATCCACCAACTGAACTAGGCCTAACCTCACGTTTCCCTCAAGTTTCTCTACCCTCTGCGTTACAAGGGCACAAGAGTGGAACAGGGTAGAAGGTAACAATGAGATTGGTTCATAGGTACGGGCTTAATTTATTTATTATGCTCAATAAGGACTCAAAATCGACTAGGAAAACTCGACATAAGGATGAGGTTGGTTTGTGAATACGGGCCATAGCTTTGTGCGCGTTGTGCTTTTTTCGCAAAGTGGGTGTTGAAGCCATGGACAACCCAAAAGTACACTTCACTCGCTGAAGTGGCTGCGTCTGGAATTAAATGCTAGTTGTTTTTTATATGAAATTCCAATAGCCGTGCGGCTAAACTGTAACTTTTTTTTTTGCGAGCAAGCGCTCTTCTCGTCATATTTGTCGTAATATGGCGAAGGAGCCTCCATTCACATCGCAGACCTTGTCACAATAAACTAGTTGGCAGCGCATTCACCGCTTAGCGAAAAATGGATGAAGCATGAACCTTTATGGTGTTGCTAAACCACACTGCTTCTCTTGTCCAGGATGGAATGGTTCGAAAATTGCAGCTTACACCGTTCCTTGTAGCCTGCCACCAGGGTGATGAGTCGTTTGTCATGGCGTCGATCACCACCGGTGCCAATGTGAACGAAAAAAACAACCATGGAGACACGGCGCTGCATTTTGGTGCCTATGGGCAAGTCATCGTGTTGAATTTGTTCTTTGAAAATTGGCGCGTTAGAAGGAACGCATGGTCGGTCATCTGCCTGCATAATGCTCTAGTACGTAAGATGTGAACCGAAAAGTCAACGCGTAGGAATAGTGGCAGATGACTTATTGGCGTAGCTATTCGCCGCGAAAGCAGCCCCTAGCCAGTCGGCTCTGTGATTAAAAGGGTAGAATAATATATACTGGTTGTGTAATTCTAGGCACCTTGTGTTAATTCTCGGCACCGACATGTGAAAAATAAAAAGAAGCAGAAATTACGCCATCTACCACTAAAGATAACCACGCGTACACGCGAAGCTACGCTGATGTTCACTTGTCTCCATTTGTATGTGTCCGCGCATGTTTCATTTTTGTGTGGAGTTGTGTATATGTTGTGTACCGTTCCCTATAGAAACGTTCCGTATGCGATGTTCAATGATTCCGTATGCTTCCGTAAGAGTCTTACGGAAATATATAGAAAATATATGGAAAATATATGGAAAATATACGGAAAACATATGAATTCCGTATGGAAACATATGGAATTATTTGACTCGCATACGGAACGTTTCAGTAGGGTTTATGCTATCGCCTCCCATTTGTGCGTATTACCGTTTGTATGCCACAAAGTGAACACCCAGTGCTGCTAGGAGAGTGAAACGGTGCTAGTACGCGTCGCAATATGTATGAGCGCCCAACTGCGGTGGATAGCTAAACGGGAGACGAGAAACTAAGCGAAGGCAGCGCTCCGGCACCTTCTTCCACTTCCTTCCGCTCACGCGAAAAGAGAGCCCACGGCTAGCCTGCGCTGCCCCATGCATGCGTCAATTCTCCCCCTCCTATCGCGAAAGAGTGGTAAGAGGGACCTCCCACCTGCCGCGAGGCGAGGGGGAGAGTTGGCGCATGAGCATTAAGGAAGGTCACGCCGCACAGCGGTTAGAGTGCCGCCATAAGCTGTTTTGCATCTGAAAAAATTGCGGTGAAGCCCTGCCAACACATATACAGAACAGTGAGCTTTGGTTAACGACTCAGGAGCAGTGGCACAATGCTTCACATTTATATCAAGTCAATACAGTTGATCACTTTCTTTAAATCGATTTCTTAAGTTCATACTAACTACCAGCGTTCTTAAACGAATGCCTGTTCCTTTGCATATGTGGCGAGCACAACATCCGACACGGACTCAAAAGCTCGCCCTGACGTTTATTAGCACCTGTGAGACCCCGTATCATCGAAATGGCTGCTTGGTTCTCGACAAACGCGTTGGAAGCTCGCTCGCGGAATGCTTTATTTTTTTTCCGGGCTGACCGCGGAAAATTCAACACATTCCCGGCCAGGTGGGCCCATTTTTTGGCCGCTTCTCGGTGCCGTTTACTCCGCCACGCAAGCACGAACGCCAAGTCCAACGTCTCAATGCACGGCGCCATAAGCCCGCCAGCCTCCTAAGAGCGCCCGAATCCCAACGGCAATGCACCAGGCTTTTCCGAGAGCTAAATAAATGCCGTAAAGGTAGAAGTATAAGATATCCAGCAGGAAGATTTCGGCGAAGGAGCAGGCTGGTGTAACGTCAGGAGAACAAAGCAGGCCAGCAGCACATACAACAAGTCAATGCAAAATCAGCAGACAAAGACACAGCAACAGGCGGCTACCACGTCGACTGCGGGGATTGACGCAGCCGCCGTCACCTAATCTATCTCGAGTTTATGTAGGTTCACTGACGGCCTCGTCACGCATCTGTCACCAGCCTAGTGTATGAAAAAGGCCTTAACGATCGCTCGCGCCATCCTGTCTATGATTGTCGACACTTCCCTTTCATTCAGTAAAGGGTGTCAACTGCATTCCTTGCAATGCGGCAGTGATTAGACGACCTTTCAGATAATTGCTGTGGTGAAATAATCGGTTATATAAACAGCGCCCGGTTTGACCGATTAAAAACTTCCCACATGATAGCATAATATGACGTATACTACCCCCTTTTCACATTCTTTATGGTGAGGCATGAAAAACAAATCATCGGCCCGCACCATAAACATATATCAGGCAATGCCAATCAGAAAAAAAAAAAGAAAATGAAAAGGGCAGAGCCTTTTCACACTCACCCAACCTGTCCCGGTGTTTGACACCACACGCATTTTATTTTTTTTTCGTCTCGTCACTTTCAACTTTTCTTTCAACCGCTGCGCAGATACGACCTAGCTTGTTCGGGGCAGAAAACACTTTAAGTCAATCCCAAAACCAACGGTGGTACTGGGCGAATCGCATGGATATGAGGGCTTTCTACGATCTTTCTCTTTTAGGGGCGAAGCTCCTTAGGGCGTGGGCTGTGCGTCCCCTGTAGCCTGTATGTAGCCACCTCTCGTTTAGTTCTTGCAGTGTCCACTAGATGGCGGTACCGTCTCCTGTATGTCGCCTCTTCTCGTTTAGTTCTTGCAGTGTTCACTAGATGGCGGCTCCGTCTTCTGCATGTAGCCACCTCTCGTTTAGTTCTTTCAGTGCTCACTAGATGGCGGGACTTGTAGCTGATGATGAAAAGATGCAAGATGTTATAAACTAGACGGCGGTACTTGTAGTTGATGATGAAAGATGCTAGATGTTATAAAATAGGAATGATGTTACATATGGCACGTGTCATTGGTGGAAGGCAATCGTTCGATTTAGTGCGGCGACGTACGCTAGGGGGAGCATTGTAATAAAATCGAGTAGGCAAAATGTACGGAAGATTCGTGGTTTGCCAGGTTTTCCTCCAGAGCTTCGCCCACTCATCATCATTCACTTCGTGGATATGGCGGCACTTTTTTTTGTAGTATGCAGATGACGAAGATGTAAATAAGTAGTTAAGTCACGCTGCTGCAGTGTGTAGCATATGCAACACAAGCTAACCACGTAAAAACAACGCAGCTAAGGCGTGATTTAGTGCGAAAGCGTGAAGAGAGTCACCCAGGGTGAGCATCCCTATGAAAGGCAGCGCTTTACTCGCGGGCAACGTTGACGTTGCATAGGTTTCATGCACCGATTCAGTAGAGAAGAGCGGCGATATTATCAGTAAACTGTACAGTCAACGCATTTCATCCGCCGACAATCGGTTCAGACGGCACGGAACGGAGCACCGCTGCGTGCATTTGGATACGCGCCGCGGACCGTTTATCCACACCTGCGCGGGGACGGTACTGCCACCTATAGCCCGATCTCGCCCCGAAAAGGTGGCGCGCCGTGCAATCCAAGATGGCTGCGGGAGGACGATCAACCAGTGAACTCGCTTAGAAATAAATAGGACGTACTCCCTGTGCCGTTTCGCCCGGATGGTCTTTTGATCGTCAAATGAATGTATATCGGACCAAAGTTCTTTCTCAGACGATAGAAGCTAATGGATGTTCGCAACCTCAATTCTTTCCGCAGTGTGAAGGGTGGTGGTGTCAGCTGATCAACCATGTATCAACGATGCTCTGCGTAATACTGTGCGTGGTACAGAAAGCTGCGCCAACTAGAATTCACGTGTGAACTGAATGGCACTCCGAGATAATTGGTGCCGAGCCTGCCTGGCGGACTGGCCGCAGTAGTAGGCCACTAGCGAGTAGCGCGCCGTCGCGGCTGCACATGACTGAATGTTTAACATAGCGATGGTTTGCAAACATACTACGCCGTCGTCATTACTTGCACTGTAAGCATCATGCAGCTGCTTGTTCAACGGAACACAAGCATTTAACTTCCCATTAAGTAGCGCTTGTGTCAGTCATGATCAGACTCTTAACAGTGCGCTATTCGCTGCTCTCGGATGTTGCGGGTTCCATCAGCGCGATCGAAACAGCGATATCGAAACGAATACACGCGTACGCTTTTCGCATCGTCAAAATTGCGAAAATCTGTCGAACAACGTCGTTTGGATGGCACTGGTGAAATGCAGGAAAAGTTTGCGTGAACTCTAGTCGTAACTGCAAATTTCATAGCTCTAACCATTTCGCTTTACTGGTCGAGCGTGTTGGGGGCATGCGGTGCTTTGTAATCCAATGTAATTGGGTTACATTCAATGCACAATAAAAACCATGCTTTTATTTTGAGCTCGCTGAAGGATATTATACAATAAATACAATCAAAGTGACATACGAGCGAGAAAAAAAATAACGCACGACGGGACGTGAAGTGCAACTCGCTGCTCGTGAGCTAGCAGCTGATCGTGTGTAGTGGCTAAGGTACTCGGCTGCTGACCCGCAGGGCGCGGGTTCGAATCCCGGCTGCGGCGGCTGCATTTCTGATGGAGGCGGAAATGTTGTAGGCCCGTGTGCTCAGATTTGGGTGCACGTTAAAGAACCCCAGGTGGTCGAAATTTCCGGAGCCCTCCACTACGGCGTCTCTCATAATCATATGGTGGTTTTGGGACGTTAAACCCCACATATCAATCAATCAAATTAGCAGCTGATCGTTCATCGTCGCTGTCACTTTCAGCGTGTTGACAACTATCTACGTCCACTGAAAAATCCTCCACGTCAAAACAGTTTTTTTTTAACATCACTGCTTAAAGTAATCAGAGGAATTCTTTCCGCCGAACGACTTCGATTGCACCAACAACGTTTCATTCACCACGCAAAACACCCACACGGCTTCCTTCACCACGTTTATCTGCGGGTACGGTGATAATTTCGCTCCGATACCCGGCAAGAAAGGAATCGCTTGCAGTGTGCTGCCATTTATCAATGAACGCAAAAAAAAAAAAACAAGAGCTGCAGCGTAGGCCAAGGTTTGGAAGCGAAAATCTTGAGCCTATACTCTACTTTGGGCCTCCAATGAATGTTGTGGGATGACTGCACTACAAAAGCACTCACGAATTCTATACGCACGTAAAGAAGGCGATTTTAAACTGTAAAGGTCAGACGATAACATTCAACTATCCAACGTGGCTGCAAATATTCTTGCGATGCTGACATGTGTACTATGCGGGCTACAACCAAAAGCGCGAGTTGCCACGTATTTTCACGAAAACTTCGCGTGCCGCAAGTACGAATCAGATTTATCGTGTCACGGACAGTCCGGTATATTCACTGATTCATGAAATATACAAAGTAGTTTGTGTTAGTTTCTTGCTAATGCGTTAACACTGTGGCTATCACCGCCCAACAAGGGAGCGTTGGGACGAGCGTCTGCTTATACTGATCATCCTCGATAGGATGCTCCTGAATTCCGCTAGGTGGCGCGACTGTCTAGGAACATAGCGAATAAACTGATGTGCACCCGCATTTAGCCCATGCATGGCACTAGTCTCTTATGTTACCCATTTGTTACTTTTTTTTTTTCAGTGACAAGCCAGCTATTCTGGAGTTGCTAGTAAACTTGGGCGCTGATATAAATGCGAAAAACAAGAAAGGGTACACGGCTCTTCATGTTGCTGTCAACAAGGACTCTGTAGCGTGTGTGCGCGTCCTCACCAACTACATTAGTGATCTAAACGTGAACACTCAGGTAAGTACGAGTTTATTGATTCAATTTCAGCTATTTGCTACTTGCAGTGCCACCAACCACTTGGTTGTCCTACGTTTTGAACGCTGTATTTCAAAGTGAAGCCACACAGCTCACGTTACAGTCTTTATAAAAAAAAGAACTTTGTAATTTGATGTTTGATTCGAAGCGCGGCTATATTTACGTATTATAGTATGACTGCTTTAACGTGATATTGTTATTGAGCTCGTTTCGGAGAAATTCAGCGGCGGTGGCAGCGTTTTTCGCTTTTGAGCAAAAAAGCGGCGTTGTCCAAAAAAAAAAGCTTTAAATTTACGAAAATAAAAAATACACCATTTCCCGCTAAAGAGAATGATGTGTTGATGTGAAGCAGCGGGTGCTAGTCTCGCCGTTTCGCAACCAGTGGGCACCCACTGGCGGTGACGTTGAGGCTAGCGCGCCTCGCGGCGTTGTGTAGGAGACAAACTTGGGGAGGTGCAAATCCCGCAGTGTGATGGCCCGGCGTATACCCTACCGCAACATGCCAATCGCTGCCGATGGGCAACGGGAAGAAGAGGACACCGATTGGACACAGAGACCCGCAGTCTGTTTTTGGTTAATGCGCACCCTGTAAATTTTTATTGTTCGACAACATACATTGAATTCTTATACATTTTTGTTGACTTATGTTGCCTTCCTGATTTGCGCATCTGATACTTGTTTCTTTATTTTGTCTTTTTTCTTGTGTGTTATATATTTTGTACCCACCCCCTCTGTAATGCCCTACGGGCCCTGAGGGTATTCTAATAAATAAATAAACACACAGGAGAAATCTCCCACTGGCACTACCTTGGAGGTAAAGATCTAATGCCTCTGTATAAGGGGTGGCCAGTGAACAATTATTGTATATGGGCCTCTGCCAGTGAATACAATTGTGCAGCGCGAGCTGTTGTTTTTTTTTTTCAATCAAGAAAGAGACGAGCGTAAAAAAGGAGAGAGGGAAGGGGACTTGGATGAGCAATGGGAGTGTAAACGCTGTGGAGAAGAATGGCTTGAAGAGAGAGAGGGAAGAGCGAGCATACCGGGTTAGCGGATGGTTCCTGCGTCCGCACTGCATGGCGAAAGAGGAGGAAGATAGAAGAGGTGAGAGAGGGGGAGTGGACGCGCATGAGCAGTAAGGGTGGTCACGACGCACACCGGATTCAGCTCGACCATAAGCTGCTTCGCATCTAAAATGAGCTGAAGGGTATCCGCATTTTGGCTTTTCTTGAGTAACGGTTCAGGTAACACCGGGAAGCAAAGGCGGGCTAGCTATTGGAAAAGCGATGGGTACACAACCTTATTACACTATTCGTTCTACTTTTTTAACGCCGCCGCCTCCTGGGGAGAAGGGCGCGTGGTGTCGTAGTGTCCCCGTTTAATAGAGGCGCTTCGATGGCGGTTTTCCCGCTTTCCGACAGACGATGTGGCCACACCGTGTGGATGCTCCTTTACAAACACGTCGTGGGTGCATCGCTGCGCTCGCAGACAACTTTTCTTGGCAATGCATTGATATTTACAGTCAAATCACGTGTATTTTACCCCTAATAAATGTAGTCCGACAATCGTGTCCTTATTTATTACGTGAGGTAGGAAAAATGAGGCCTTCATTTTTTTTTCTTGCATGAAGACTCCGTAAGAAACGCTGATCGCGCACAGCCATCAGTTTCCACACCGGAACACAAGGGATCACCTTCTGGACTACATCGCGTAGTAGTACATGTGCAGAAGCTCCGGCCCAGCAGCTTTCCGTTTAACTGCCAAGAAAAGTGGTCCGTGAGCATAGTTACCCGTAATAAAGGGTACATACATTCGTGTGCGCATTATTTTATGGAGGCGTACGCAATTCGTAGACACTTCGAAAAAAAAAGACAAACGTCTCGCGCGTAGACGTTTCTTCACGCCAACGGTATGATGAAGCTTGTAATGAATTGGCCACTCGCAATGACTTGAACTACAGTGACCTGTGTGTGTGTGTGTGTGTGTGTGTTGAAACAATACACCGCGTTACGATCCCTTTGCTCGCTGCAGCAGCCGTTTCCGAAAGAAATGAGCTTCTTACCCCCCTTTTTTTTTTCATGTAGCATTTCAGTTTGTTTATCGCGTACATTGTGCCGACCTTGTGGCGAAGATGACTTTCTGCTAAATATTGCGTTATTTTCTACAGGACGAGTACGGAGACACACCTCTGCATGATGCTATAAGAAAAGCCAACAACGATATCGTTGATCTGCTCGTGAACTTCAGGAGCATCGACTTTACGGTGAAGAACAAACGTGGCTTCAACGTATTTCATCATGCCGCCTTGAAAGGAAACATACAGTAAGGTTTTTTATAACCATCTTACTGAACAGAGCAATGCAAAACGGGACGTATTAGTAACCAACACTTCATCATTCCCGTGCTTCTATTTACCTTGCTCTACCTGATAGGACGATTGTATACCAAGAAGTCACTGTTTGATATGCCAAAAGAGCATACGATACACGCGTTTGTTTGAGTGCGGGAAAAATCTTTGAAATATTGGTCGCCATCATGCCCTGCGAACGTGAGATTCCACACTTGTCCATCGTGGGGGAGGAGGGGTCTTATTGATTGGTAGAATGGTAGTGATAGTCGCTCTGTGGTCGCTGTAGTAGCCCGTTATTGGTTGCGCCAACATTCCCAGCAAGAATAATTGGCTCCTTTCTTTGCGCATAGCACTCACGTTGTTCTTACGTCTTTCGTTTCGGTGGTCTACTATGACACCTTTAAAGTGAGCTGAACGTGTTGCTTGTCGTGTATTTCATATATATATATATTGACGCGTGTGTACTGGTGGACCAAAACGACAATAAGGGGATTTGGCGGACACCAGGTAGTGGAGCTCTGGCTGATTGAAGATAAAGAAGGCGATCTTGCTGTTCGGCTGCTGAGAGTCGCTGTGTCAACGTTCATCTGCCCTTGGTTCGCGCTGCACCGCGACACTGGTGGAAGTGCTGGGACGCAACCCTACCTAATGCTCCATACTCCCACTGGGAGCCGTTCATCTAGCTCGGACGCATTGTCACCCATTGCAACTCCCGTGCACCGGTTCAGCCGGCGGCTGATAGACCTCGCTCCAGAGTTCACGCCTTCTACGGAACCTCGCAAGTGCCGACTACCTCTCCAAATGGCCAACGCCAGTCCGCAACCGGCGCCCCAAGGCCCCCCGCCAACACAGCCTTCACAGGTAACCATCTTTCAACCGCTGGTTCTCTATCACTTTAGTGGCGGCGCCCATGAGGACGTGGACGACTGGCTTGAGCACTACGAGCGTGTCGCCAAGATTAATCTGTGGCCTGAACAAGAAAAGCTCTCGCGCGCCTATTTCTACCTTGACGGCGGTGCGAAAATTTGGTATGAGAACAGAGAAGCCAGTCTGTTAACTTGGGGCGACTTCCGACAACAGCTTGTCGATACGTTCACCAATGTCGATCGACGCGACCATGCGCAGCAGCTGTTGGAGCTACGGGTTCAAAAACCCAATGAAAGCGTTACTATGTTTGCTGAAGATATGACTTGTCTTTTTCGTCGAGCTGACCCGAACATGAGTGAAGATAGGAAGTTGAGCTACCTCATGCGCGGTGTTAAGGAGCAACTTTTCGCCGGGCTACTACGCCACCCTCCAAGTACCGTAGTTGACTTCATCAAGGAGGCTATGGCTATCAAGCGGGCGCTCCATCAACGATGCAGGCAGTATCATCGAATGTCTAGCAGCGCCCCAATCAATGCTGCCGCCATACCTGAGGATCAAAGCTCCCTGCGAGACCTCATTAGGAAGATAGTTCGCAAAGAACTTCGAAAGTTGCGGAATCCAGTTGCTCAAACCCCCGTTGCGTCCGTCGCTGAACTGGTACGCGACGAAATCCGCCACGCCTTTTCTACCGCTGGTCCTGGTGACGAGCACCTTCCCATGAGCTATGCCGATGCTCTGCGACGTTCACCATCTGGTACATCGCCGTCATATCACCCAGTGCCGACGGCCCCTTGGTCACCGCGGCAAGAGCAGACCCTGAGCCGACCGCCAAGCCAACCGACGTACCACCGGGCGTCCACAGCAGCACCATGGACATCGCCGCAAGAAGGGAGGCTCAGACGTCCACCGCTCCGAAGAAAAGACGCATGGCGCACAATCGATCGACATCCACTATGCTTTAACTGCGGAGGTGCAGGTCATATTGCCCGTCATTGCTGGCACTGCAATGATTCGTTCCGCCCGGTTCGAACATGGTCTGACGATCGACGTGCGAACGAAGAATACATACCACGCCGGGAGGACGCCTCTTTCCATGGAGCCCGTTCTCACTTTTACGAATACCGTACTTCTGACGAGGAGGCAATACCTACCCGCCAGCCAGGTTTGGGACGTCAATCCCGCTCTCCTTCTCCCGCTCATTCACCTTCGTCACACCGACGTACCTCCGCGGACCTTAACGCAAGAAGGTCACCCAGCCCGCGACGGGGAAACTGAGGGCGGCGACCTCCGGCGGTAAGGTTGCAGGCCACGAAGATGACGACGAAAAGCCCCCATTACACGACGCTTTAAATCCGACAAGACGTGAGAGCGACGACCTTGTGACCGCTGACCTGAGTGTTTTTCTTGACGGCCAGAAAGTAACAGTCTTAGTCGACACCGGTGCCGACTTTTCTATCATCAGTCAGGACCTCGCCATGCGCCTCAAGAAAGTGAAGACACCGCGGACAGGTCCTCAAATAAGGACGGCGGGTGGTCAGTTACTGATGCCCTCTGGGAGATGCACAGTGAGAATTGACATAGGAGGTTCTTCTTTTGTTGCATCGTTCGTCGTTCTTGCCGCATGCTGCAAGGATCTAATTATTGGTATGGACTTCTTACGAGAGTACGGCGCCGTCATCAATATCCCAGACAGTTTGATTACATTCCGCAACAGTTCGGGCGCACCTGATTGTACACAAGCGCGACCAAACCAATTGCGTCTAACTGATGACGATGTGGTTCTCCCTCCACGGTCATGCACGCTTGTTTCTGTGGCAGCCGCTGTCCAGTTTGACGGCGAAGGAGTAGCAGACCGAATAACCTCGCTCCTCTTCACACACGGCATTTCCGTCGCAAGAGGTATCGTCAGTGTGGTCGCTGGACGCACGCACTTGCTTCTGACAAATTTTAGTGATGAGCGCCGGCACCTTCCAAAAGACATGGCCGTCGCTTACTTCGACGATATCACAGACGCAGAAGGCTGCTTGGCAGTAGTCGACGAGGCGCCAAAACTTGATTCGACACCAGTTCTTGACGTTAGCACTACTTTGCCTAAGAACGAGCGAAAGAGGCTTCTTGAGCTACTGGCCGAATTCAAAGACTGCTTTTCGACAACATCAAGAGTTGGCCGCACACCTCTAACCAAGCATCGGATAATTACGGAGGACATGGCGAGACCAATTCACCAAAATTCCTATCGCGTGGCTGCAAGAGAACGCGAAGTGATACAAGAGCAAGTCGACAAAATGCTGGAAGATGACGTCATTCAGCCCTCAAAAAGCCCCTGGGCGTCACCTGTAGTTCTCGTTAAAAAAAAAGATGGCAGCATGCGCTTCTGTGTAGATTACCGAAAACTCAATCAGGTGACAAAGAGAGATGTGTATCCACTTCCTCGTATAGATGACTCTCTCGACAGACTTCGACATGCTCGTTACTTTTCATCGATGGACTTGAGGAGTGGGTATTGGCAAACCGAGGTAGACCCAAGAGACCGCGAGAAGACTGCTTTTGTGACACCAGATGACTTATATGAATTTAAAGTCTTGCCCTTTGGTTTATGTTCAGCGCCTGCTACTTTTCAAAAACTTATGAATACCGTACTTTCTGGGTTGAAGTGGAAAACCTGCTTGGTCTACCTTGATGATGTCGTAGTTTTTGCCGAAACATTTGACCAGCACCTTAAAAGACTTGAGGCAGTTTTACAAGCCATACGGTCTGCGGGCTTGACATTGAAGCCTGAAAAATCCCACTTTTGCTATGAAGAGCTGCAATTTCTTGGCCACGTTGTCAGTCACGGAGGCGTTCGTCCTGATCCTGAAAAGATCGCATCTGTTGCACAGTTCCCGGTGCCGACTGATAAGAAGGCTGTCCGACGATTCCTCGGACTATGTGCGTATTATAGGCGATTCATCGCGGACTTCGCACGCATCGCATCACCGTTGACCCGCCTCACGAGAGAAGACGTTGCTTTCCAATGGAGCAACGAAGAGGAAGCTGCTTTTAAGAACCTCCGCCAGCGACTACAGACGCCTCCAGTGGTTGCCCACTTTGATGAGAAAGCCCCAACGATGCTACACATGGATGCCAGCAATATTGGTTTGGGAGCTGTGCTTGTGCAGCTGCAAGAGGACACAGAAAGAGTAATTGCCTATGCAAGCCGAACACTAACACGCGCCGAGACTAGTTACTCCACGACTGAGAAGGAATGCCTCGCCGTGGTATGGGCGGTCACAAAATTTCGCCCGTATTTATACGGCCGCCCTTTCAAAGTCATCAGCGGCCATCACTCACTGTGTTGGTTGACAAATCTTAAAGATCCTACCGAGAGATTAGCGCGTTGGAGTCTAAGGCTGCAGGAGTACGACATGACTGTCGTACACAAGTCAGGAAAGCGCCACATGGACGCCGACTGTCTATCCCGCTCACCCATTGAATCGGCAACTCTATCCGATGAGGAGGAAACAGCATTTCTCGGTGTGCTTGACTCAACCGCTATCGCACAGCAACAACGTGGCGACCCTGAGTTACTTGCCCTAATTGATTACCTGGAGGGAAGATCTCAGAAGGCACCAACTGTTTTCGTAAGAGCGCTGTCATCATTTTGCTTACGGAGCGGAGTACTATACAAAAGAAACTTCTCTTCGACAGGATCTGCGTATTTGCTCGTGATCCCAGCAGCCCTTCACTCCGAAGTACTCGAAGCATGCCACAACGAGGTGACTTCAGGCCACTTAGGTTACACAAGAACGTTGGCCAGAGTACGGCAGCGCTACTTCTGGCCAAGACTGACCGTAGCCGTAAAACACCATGTTCGTACTTGCCTCGACTGCCAGCAACGGAAGTCACCGCCGACTAAACCAGCTGGCCTTCTGCAGCCCGTGCAGGTCCCAAGAACACCATTCGACCAGATTGGCATGGATATTTTGGGCCCACTTCCTACTTTTTACTGCTGGGAACCACTGGGTTAATGTTGCGACTGATTACCTTACCCGTTATGCTGAAACAAAGGCTATCCAGAGAGGTACAGCAGCGGAGGTGGCACAATTTTTCATCGAGAACGTTGTCC